ATGAATTTGCTCTGCAAATATACTCATGCTAAGTCAGGAGGTTTGCAGTCCATTTGGCGATGAGATTGGAGTCTGAAGTACTAGATAAACAGCTACGTGGCAGCTTTATAGAGTAGTATCCGGGGCTGGATCACAAGCTGAAATTGAGTCAACAAGGTCTCAATGTTGGGAGAAAGCAAATACGGCATGGTCTGTATAAACGCATTCTATGCACAGGTTTGCCTTAGAAAAGTTCCTTCATTGTGCTGGATAATGCTCAGGCCTTTTGGACGCAGAAATATTTCAGAGCTGAGGATACAGCAGATTTGATTCCCAGAGAAACGTTTGTTCCAGGAATGATCAGAAATCTAGAAATTGAGACTGGGAAATGGTGAAAAAAAAAATCGGAGTTCTTAAGGGAGGAGCTAAGTGGAGACCTGATATCAGTCATCTTTTATGTAAGAGGTGGCTGCAAGGCAGAGGATAAACTGTTCTTTGTCTGCTGGAGATAGGGCAAAGTAATGTGCTTAAAATGGAGCAAGAAATAGTTGTGTAACATATTGGGAGCACTAATGATAGTGTCAGTGAAGTGACATGAATAGATTGCTCAAGGAAATGAGATTGTTATGGGATGTGCTATTGCTGATGTTTTTTAAGATGGACAGCAGTTAAAAATGGTTTAGTTGCAGCTGCTCTTTCTCGTCTAGAGTTCTGACTCCCTTTATACCATGTTTTAAAAGTAAAGACATACAATACAAAGACATTTACATATAGTAGCAACTGCTCCTGTTGCACTCCAGCCAGCCACGGTCAGTGTTTTGCCCTCCTATGACAACGATTAGTTCTCTTGTCCTAAGTAAATATCTGTTACTCTTACATCGTCCTGTCTGTCTTCTGAGTACATCTCTCTAGAGGATAACACACTTTTCATGGTTCTCCAGAAAAAGGAAAAACCTCTGTGCCTTGTTTGAATTAGTTTTAAACTGGTGGAAGGCAGCTTTCATCCAAAGAAAGTGAAATTCCTTTTTTTCAATTACTTCAATTATTTTGTAACTTTATAATTAAAACAAGCCTATCAATGGGGATCTTTTCTCCTGACTAATGGCATTCAATTACATGACATGGGGCTTAAAATTGCAAACTTTCATCAAGCTACAAAATGTGTACAAGAAGACAAGAGCCAGGGAGTCTACACTTCTTACGAATTACTGTGGTTTACAAGACACTCATCGTACTCTGCATGAAAGTACATAGGTTCTTTTCACTGCCTGACTCTGAAACAGAAATTAAAACTGTATGTGAGTTAAGAGAATTTGGTATGACTCAAATTTCTTGTAATTCACTACTATGATGTTACTCTTAAAACTTCTGCAGTAGGGGGGCTGCTCAGTAAGCTATGTATTGGAAGAATGTGCAGAAAAGTGGATTTTCTTGAACCACACACACATGTAGTTGCTGAACCTGCATCGTAAACCTGGCATGACCAAGCAGGGTTTGCGCAATCCTGTACAGATAATGTGTTTAGAAAGTGAGAGTCCAGGATTTAATTATCATCACAGTGCAGTTTTCTCTCCTTCAAGTGTCATCACTGCTTTTTTTTTTTTTTTTTTTTTTTTTTTTTGTGGTTTTATTCTTTGTTTGTCTTATGGTAGCTGACAGGGGGCTGTCAAAAGTTTTTGATATAAGATTTGAAATTATGATTTTCAACTTTTCTGCAAACCATAAATGGCCCTCTAGAAGCTACTCATAAACAGATATAACTTACATGTACATCAAAAATAGAAATCAGTAATTTTATTCATTTAAGTCCCAGGTCTGTCTGAGTGGTTTTCATTTTTTTGATGAAGTTAGAAGTTTGTGAGCAAAATTTAAACGTGAAGGTAACATCCCATATTTTCATTAGTAACATGGACAAAGAGCCTGAGAGACACCAAATGCAGTGGGGGACTTCTGGCACTGAGATTACTGAGATGCTATGTTTGCTGGCGGCTTCCTGATTCGTCTTTACCTCAACATGGATTTGTCAAACTTCACTCCTGATTTGGCCTTTAGCAAGTTGTATGGCATAGATATTACAGTTTAGGAATATATAAGAAGAAGAACAAGCCTCTCTCCATCATTTACTGGCAGTCCTGGTTAACGAGGGAGGTCCTGGTGACTGGAGACTCACCAATGTGAGGCCCATCTGCAAGAAGGGCAGGAAGGAGGATTTGGGGAACTACAGGCCTGTCTGTCTGACCTCAGCACCAGGGAAGGTTATGGAACAGTTCATCTTGGAGGAGATCATAGAGCAAGTGAGGGACAACAGGGGAATCGGGTCCCACCAACACAGGTTCATGAAGGCCAAGTCCTGTTTGACCAATCTGATCTTCTATGATCAGGTGTCCTGTCTGGTGGATGAGGGAAAAGTGGTTGTTGTTGTCTACCTGGACTTCAGTGAGGCCTTTGGCACCATCTCGCACAGCATTATGCTGGAGAAGCTGGCAGTGGAGTCTTGGCTGGGTTAAAAACTGGCTGGATGGCCGAGCCCAGAGAGCTGTGGTGAATGGAGTTAAATCCAGTTAATGTCCAGTCACGAGCGGTGTCCCTCAAGGCTTAGTTTTGGGACTGGTCTTGTTTAATAACTTTGTCAATGACCGGGATGAGGGGATTGAATGCACCCTCAGCAAATTTGCAGATGACACAAAATTAAGTGGGAGTGTTGATCTGTTTGGGGGTTGGAAGGTTCTGCAGGGGGATCTGGGCAGGCTGGAGTATTGGGCTGAGGTCAGCTGTAGGAGGTTTAACAAGGCCAAGTGCCAGGTCCTGCACTTGGGGCACAACAACCCCAGGCAACGCTCCAGGCTTGGGGAGGAGTGGCTGGAAACTGCCTGGTGGAAAAGGACCTGGGGGTGCTGGTGGACAGCCGGCTGCACATGAACCAGCAGTGTGGCCAGGTGGCCAAGAAGGCAAATGGCGTCCTGGACTACATCAGAAATGGTGTGACCAGCAGGAGCAGGGAGGTTATTGTGCCCTTGGGCTCAGCACTGGTGAGACTGCACCTTGAGTCCTGTGTCCAGTTCTGGGCACCACAGGGTAAAGAGGACATGGAAGTGCTGGAGCAGGTCCAGAGAAGGGCAATGAGGCTGGTGAGAGGGCTGGAAAACTGCCTTCTGAGGAGTGGCTGAGGGAACTGGGGTTGTTTAGTCTGGAGGAATAAAGACTAAGAGCTGACCTTATTGCCTTGCCTTCTACAGCTACCTAAAAGGAGGTGGTAGTGAGGCTGTTGTTAGTCTTTTCTCCCATATCACTGATGATAGGGCAAAGGGAAATTGCACCAGGGCAGGTTTCTGTTGGATATTAGGAAGAATTTTTTCACTGAGAGAGTGGTTAGGCACTGGAATGGGCTGCCCAGGGAGGTGGTGGAGTCATCGTCCCTGGAGGTATTCAAAAAACAAGTGGATATGGCACTTGATACTACGGTCTAGTGGTTAGGGAAATTCTGGGACGAAGGTTGGACTTGATCCCGGAGGTCCTTTCCGACCATGGTGATTCTGTGATTCTAAGAAATGAATCTGTCTGGGGGTAGTATAGCTTAATGTATCATGGCTTTTACAAGGTTTTCAGGTGGCTTGAGAACATGATGAAGATTAAAACTAAGGATGTTTCTTCCCTCCAGATGTAACACTGGCCTTTGCCATAGCATCTCTCTCAGTGCCTGTGCTGGATGGGCCTTTCCATCAGTCTGGTTATTGCAGACCAAGAGGAAGAAGAGAAGTGGCCCCCTGAACAGCTCTGGATTATTTAACAGTGCTGATTGGTGAGGGACAGGAGAGCATTTTGGGCATCCCCAGCTGTCCCCCAGGGGAGAATTCCTTTTAAAAAAAGTAATAAAAAATACGTGGTTGTGTGGCAGGGACGAAGGAGCATACTTTTGGTGGCACAGAAGACTTAAGTGAAGAGAGGCTTTTAGGCAAGGTTTTATTCTGACAATAACGTACATCCGGCTTTGAAAGAGATTTCTAAGGCAAGGTCAGGAATCTTTTTACTTGAGGCTTTAAAACGGAGTAGCCTGAATAAAATGGGAGGTTTATAAAACTGCTCCATAGGAGAGGCTGGGGGCGCGGTGTTA